ATTACTTCATGCTTTTCTGGGTGCTTTGACAAAAGCCCATCTCCAAATCTCCATTCTGTGTTCATCGATCTCTGTTCAGATTTAGCTCTAAGTAGCAGTTTTGTACCGCCAGGGTTTGGAGTTTTGACTATCCTAGGCAGACATTATACTAGTTACATTTGTAAAGTATGTCTTATATGTGAAATCTCTAGGAATATGAATCAGGAATAATAACTGTACAATCAGTTTTAGAAGGCCTGAGATGTATAGGCTTTTCCTGAACTGAACTAACTATCATACATGCCACCATATAATCTGAAGCATAAATTAGGTTGGAAGCCACTCTCAAATGTAATGAACTGCCCAGCTAAGGGTTTGTCTTCTAGTCTCAGATGTGTTCGCATCCCGATTGCCAGACTGACCACCACTCCCCTTCCCACTCCCACACCACACATGGGATGAAAATTTTCTAGCACAGTTCTTGTGCCCAAAGTTTATTCCTACCAGATTTGTCCTTCCCTGCCTCCAGCAGCTGTAAGATGACTCCAGTGGCATTTGTCAGACTTTGTGTTAAATAAGTTGTACCCTCTATCCAGTGGATGTAGTTCACTGAACTGAGAAGAATTTTGTACTTTTATAAATGATGGTGTCACGTTTCAGTACAGAGAAAAAGAGCAGAAGCTCTGCCGCTCACTGGCTTTGTTGTATGCTTCCTCTTGACTTTCTCAGCTGTCCTCTAAACCTGCCTCAGCAACTGGTATCATCTGATTATTCTGGTATTTGGCTTACATAGTTGGATTGTTATCAACCATGTCCCTGTGTGTACTTGTAAATTGTACTGTGTATACTGAGTAAATTCAATCAGCTAATGAAATTGTGGCATTTCCCATCAATTGATTATCAAATTGCTGGTATAGTTCTTCTAGCCCATCCCTTTTCCAGAGCTGCATGTTTCTGTTTAGCCAAACAGCCTGTGCCTGACCGCTTCCTTGCCTTTCCTGAATGTCACATTTTCATTTGACATGCAGATGCACTTTGAGTCTGGCCAAATACCAGTGGACTTCCTGGTCATTTTACTGACCACCTTGTTGAAAATGAATCAGTAAAAAGCATCCCAAAAGTACAAGAGAAGCTGGTATGACTTTCTTATGTTGCCCAACACAGCAATCACAGATGCCTTCTGGTGTACAAGGTGAGCAATGATGATGTCAAGAGAGGATAGTGTTTCTGAGGCAGTGATCACAGGAGCTGTGGTTTGCATTTTTGGTAGGGAACATAGCACAGAGGAAAGCTGGTGCAGTGAGCACCTGTAAAGGATGGATTTATAATCATCATAGAGTCATAAAATGGTTTCATTTGGGAGGGACCTTAAAGCTCATCCAGTTCCAACCCCCTGACATGGCCAGGGACACCTTCCACTAGACCAGGTTGCTCAAAGCCCCAGCAAGGCTGTCACTGAACATTTGCCCTCCTTGTTTTGATTTTCCCTAGCTCCCTGTGGCAGTATATAGTCTTGGAGAAAGTAGCGGTTTCAGGTTAAAGTCCCTTTGAATTCCAGTCTTCCAGGAAACTGCTGTAGGTTTAAATATCGGGCAGCACTGGCAGTATAGGTGCTGCTGCACAGATCATTAAGTACAACTTCTGCTCTTTGCCGTAGTTATTTAATGCCCACAGAAGCTGCTGTATGCACATGAAACCAGCAGCCAGCTAGTTTGGGGTGAAGGTGAGCACCCAGTCCTTTGGGCCAAAATGCAGAGAACTGCAGGTTACTGTGTTGCTGATCCGCAGTAGAAGCTGCTGCCTGGTGTGGAGTCTGAAGGACAGGGTCTCACCTGGACCTGCATTGCAATTGCCACTGCACACTGGGCTGATGGCTGCTCTGCTGTGCAGCTGCCTTGACAAGCTGTGCAGTACCTTGCTTATGGAAATGAGCTCATGGATTGTGATAAACATAGAGTAAAACAGGAGTAGGGATGGGTTTGACTCATAGTATAGACACCCTGTTGAGCAAAACTGTGTTTGCTTTCTTTAAGAGCTTATTTTCCCTATGGTGTAGGGGCAGGAGTTTGCATTTCTGGTATTGCTATATTCTTCTATGCAAGCTATGGTCCATTTTAGTCTTTTTCTCTAGTGGTGTTTGTTTTGGTACTAATGGAACTATTTTTTCAACTTTTTTTCTTTTTTCTTTTTTCTTTTCTTGACTAAAGAAGGGATGCGGAAAATGGCAAGGGAGAGAAAAGCAGTGGAAGAAGTTTGAAGTACCCACTGCATTCACTCACTTTTGAACCTCTTCCATCCCTTTGTGCTGCCAAGTTGACGAGAGCAGCTGCTTGGTAAACAAATTGTACAGATACTCTTAAAACATTGGTGCTTGTCACTTCCTGGTGATGTTGAGATGAAGAGGAAATGGGGATTATCCATTCAACACAGTTCTAACCAGTTGCTGATGTGCTCAGATTCCCAGAATATGGGAATTTGCTAATTCTCAAATGGGAGATGATGAACCCCAAATAAATGAGGTGCTTCTTTTTTTAACTGAGTTTCCTTTTTCTTTGAATGGACAGGTAGGATAAAGGGAAAAGAAGGGAGCACATGATATTATCCCTATGGTTCTGTTACAGCTGGTCACTTTATCTGCCTGTGCTAACATTGTCATGGTGATGTATGTAGATGTAAAAATGGGGATTATGTTGCACCAGGACAACATTAAGAAATTGGCCTATTAAAAGGTGCTTTGTAATAAATACATTTCAGTACATGAAATGTTATAAAATAGGAATGCAACAGTAATTATTAATATATTGGTAGTTTATTTTAGCTTTATAGAAAATTTAGGTTTTATGTGTATAAATATCTGCACACTCAAGTAACATTCCTTTGAATTTGTAGGATTACTTTGATTTATTTTATTTTTTCTTTTAATAAAAATGCTTTTATATATTTATAAATATAAATATTTGTGTTTTGTTATAATTACAGTATAACACTTGGAATTAAAGGGAGATTTACTCAACAGGAATGTTCCACGCTGTAGTACCTGCTTTTCTACAGTAGCACACTGTTTTACTGTGCTACTGTACCAAAAATGAGAATAATCAAGTTAATCCCTTCAATTCTGAAGGAGAAGAGGCTGGAATCCAGACTATCCAGCTTTCCCTGAGTCCTGTAAGCAGAAGCGCTAAAAAGAGATCCAGTTTCCAGTAACAGACAGTAGGAAACGTTTGAAGCTGCTGTGGGCCTGCATCCCTCACACTTGCTGTCTGCAGCATTGCAGCCTGGATTCTGGGGAGAACTAAAGAAGTCTACATAAATGTCATACAAATCCCACAACTTGCACTCAAGGAGGCTCTAGCTCAAATCATTTCTGCTTTCTGTCCCTGGGGATGTCCATAGCAGCCTCACTGTAAGAGGAGGTAATTCTATTAGCTGGATAGGGAAAAAGGAAATGTGCATAAAGACATAGGCAGTGGGTATGCAGCTTATGCATGTCCAGGAGCATGGTCCCAAGCAGATTTATAATTTTGTTTCCATTCTCTACAGTCCCATCATCAAGGAGGATGTGCATCAAAAATAAAGCTGCTCCTCTGCAGAGAAAATATGTCTATTTATGAAAGGTCTTTATATGATAAAAAGCTTGTATTTCAGAAGAGGAAATTTGTTAGCATTACAGAGATCAGTTCACTTTGGCAGAAGCCTCCTGACATGAATAGATTCTGTTTCTTTTGTGCATGGAATACTGAATAAGGCTCTTAAGGATGAAGGTTTACCCTTGTAGCCTTTACCCTAACGGCATCTTCACTTAGTTTCCCCAATAAAACCTTTATTGCAAATTCAGTAACCATTCTCCTTTTTAACAAGGTTGCCAGCCTGCAAATAACTGCAGAGACAGGAGCTATTTATGGGAATGCATTAGCAAAATATGATCCAGCCATGATTTATCTTTCTTGTGATAACTTGCTTTAAGTAGGAGGGAGTCTGCAGTCAGGGTTTATAAGTGCCAGTTCTGTGGCATTGGTGGGTTGCCTTCCCCATCCCAAAATAGTCTTGATTTTGAAGTATCAGAACCGCAGTGGAAGTCTTGACCCCACAGTAGACAAGACACATAGCAAAGCGTAAGCATGGGTTTGGGCATTCCAGTTGATTCACTGTTCAGTCCATGAGCTGCTCCCTGTTAGGTTCTCTTCTCCACCAGGCATAGGTACAGAAGGGATGTAAAGATATTCCTCAATTAACCTCTGCTGATACAGGTGTAAAGAAAACCTGTCATTGTTGGAAATGAATGACTTCTGATAAAATGGAAAAGGCTTCAGCCAGGGGCAGAACTAGTATTAAAAATAATTCAAATACGTGAAGTTTGGTAAAATTGCTGGCAATTGAAACCAAGTTCCCTGTATTAGATGTATTGAGCATTCTTACAATTCAGAATAGTGCTGTCAGTACTGTAGCAGTGTATTTTGTCAGTACTGTGAGCTCTTTTTCCAGCAGTTAAGTAGCCTTTAGACAAACATTCTGATTTCGTAACTTATGTTTTGAGATTTGTGGGTTTGATATTGCTACTTCCTGCATCCTGCAGTGCAGGAATTAGCAGGTTTGTGGAAAACCATCTGGGGAACAGCAGGAGAATTCTGGCACTCTTCCTTGGGGTTTTCTTTTCTTGCATTTAAATATAAGACTGAACCACCTCCCTATAATCCACCAAAGCCTGAGCAGCACAGACAAGCACAGTTAGCCTATATTGCAGAGGACTTTTCAGCTGCCGCAACAGTTGTAAAGGAGAGTTGAATTCTTTCCTTATGCAGCCATTGCTCAGCTTCATCCTCTGACAGCCATGTAACAAACCAGTGCCTGGATGACTCTTTGTGCACTGGGCAGCACAAAGTCCTTTCTCATAGAAACCTGCAGTACAGCAATTCCTCAGAGTGTCCCTCAAAATTGTCCCAAAAAATATTGTTTGGTTTCTGTGGTTTTGTTTTTTTTTTTGAGTTGCTGAGATGTCACACGTAAAGGATGGGAATTCCAAAATGGTCAGCAAGGAGGTGCTAGCACATTTGAATGCAAATATAGGAGGTGCGTTTTGACTTGGGTATATAGGAAGGAATAGGAAGACAGAGTTTCAACCCATGGCAGGCACCAGATGCGAATGGCATGCTTGGCTGTGCCTGGAGATGTCAAGATCTGGCTGCTGCACTGACATAGCACAGCTTTTGCAGTAAAGGGAAAATCTTTTACATGACCAGCCCTGTCTTATAAGCGTTTCTCCTGAGTAATCTGTAAGGAGAAAAGAACACCAGCTCACTGCAGAGACCCAGAAATAGGATTTAATGGAAGCAGCAGACATTTCACATTTGTAAGGTGGTGGTATTAAGGTGGTGATATTAAGGTGGCAAAGAAGGTGTGTGAGTTCCAGCTGCAGCCCTCTTACCTATCCCTATCAGCTCCAACAACTTCTAGTGAGCACACATGATTGCTACAGACAATAAACATCTTTTTTTTATGCCCTTTAGGACTTATTTATTTCAAGAGCCCTGTGTAGTACTTTCCCGGTGCAATGTGGCATATATTGTGGATGAAATATTCTTTTGTCAGTATTTTCCTTTCCCCCCCCCTTTATATCTACGTAGTCACAAATATTAGTGCTTTTGATGTCATGCAGAAATGTATTACTGCTTCATGAGAGTCTCTGATTATTCTCAAACCAGAAGAAATGTAGAGGAAGAATTTTAACTTGCACCTTGTGTGAGAATGGCTAGAAATGAGCAGACATTCTTTCAATAGTTCCAGAGGGAATCTTTCATGTTTTTTCTTATATTTTCCAGTTGTACTTCTTACTGCTACTTTCAGCTTTTCACGCAGCTATAGTTTTCTACAAATATTTATATGCAAAAATATCAAAAAATGCTACTTTTAAACCATATTTCTCTTTTTCCTATGTAGTAGAAACCAGCTGGTTTCACACTGGATAGATTTCAGAAGGTTCCCATATGGAGTATGTGCACTGATGAGTGGGAAGTGTTAGTGAGCAAGAACCACACAACTGCCTTGCGCCAGTCGCAGGAGTGCATATGGTGTTCTTCTGCCATCTTCTGTAAACCACTTTAGCATTCTTCTCCCTGTGTTATCCTTCATAAAGCAGTATGATATCCTATGAATTCCATATTTACAGTAAGGGAGATCCGTCTGTTGGCTCAGACAAATGGTACAAAGATGTGCTGTTTTGCCTCTAAGTAGTTAACAATTGCAAAAGATTCGTTTTTAATGCTTAGCACTTTATTCACTTTATTTTTCTTTTTAGTGCACTGGAAAATAAATCTTAAACATTTCTTCTGTTATCTAGCACTTCAAGGCTTTTCATAGCATTTGTAACATCTCTTTGCCAACACTCCATCTGTGATTTTAGCTTGCAGGAAACACTTTGCAATTCTGTTATTAGCTTAGATGCAAAGAGCTGCTGTTTAAATATTAATTGTAACTTCCCTCATGAGTGCAGTCAAACCCACTGAGTAACTTGTGGAGTTCAATAAATACCTAGGAGGGGGTGGGAAGTGTGTTGTGGGCCTGCTCTTGGTCTTAATGAAGGCGTTAGGTGAGTTAACAGTACAAAATGGATTATGTCCTGGCGCTTGCTGTCTCCTTTCGTCCTCTTACCTCAGTTCTGCTACTTGTACACACACAACAAAAGGGAAGAAAACAGAATCCTGTTAAGCTGCAAGCACACTTCTTGCACGGTTAGTGGGCTTCTGCCAATGCCTCTGTCGGTGAAAGGAAAACCACACAGTGCTCGCAAGAAAAGACACAAGACCCATCGGTTGTTTCAAATCCCAGTTATTGGACAAATACACTTCTGAAGTACTTCTGTATTGCTCTGTCAAGGATCACACCTCAGTAAAGGCATTATCTTGTGGTTGAGCCCATCTCCTCTGCTTTCAGTTGTGAGCCTAACCCTATCTCATTTCTTGATTCTACAAAATATACTTTACACTTAAAAAGTAGAAAAACCAGGAAAATATTATGTGTTTACAGACATTTCAGTGAAGTATATTTGATAGAATCAAGGAACAAAGTAGTTCACGCCATCTGACCAGCCTGTTTTTTGCGGATCACAGAGCATTTTAATTGTAAGACTCACACTGGGTATAATTAAAAGAAGATGAGCCCTATTAAAGTCGTATGTTGTCTTTTTCCCTCTCTTCTCCTTCCAGACGGTCATTAATCTTTTATTGGTGAGGAGGTTTGCCTATGGTCTAATCTGAGATTTTTTCTCATGTCATTTAAATGGGTTACTTCTCTTTGTGTTTGCAGGTGGACTGAATTTTAATGTGTTGAGTTCTGTTAATTGCTCAGAACTTAGCTGTTTTTCTTAGTACCTTGCAAATGTAGAATGAATTAAAAAAAAAATTAAGTAGTACCCACATACTCCTTTTATTTTTCAGCTTTCTGTGAAGAAGGATGCAGATATGGTGGAACTTGTGTAGCCCCTAACAAATGTCTCTGCCCTCCTGGATTCACAGGAAGTCATTGTGAGAAAGGTAAAGCTTTAATGGAACGTATTTTTTTCTTAATGAGAAATATGATTCTGCTGAATTAAGAAATAATTGCTTTCCATTCCTTCATTCTGCTGGATAGTTTGTCTTTGTTTAAGACATGACTGTTCCATAGCTGCCTTTTTCTAAGTGAAAGCTAGTCTTAAACATGGAAAGTTTTAGATAACCAGGGATGTATCTGCTTTCGTTTCTAGTTGACACTTTCAGTTAATTAGAGAAGATGGCAAATGAAAAATATCTGGTTTTCCATGTATTTCCTGTGGTGCATCATCAAGGTTAACTTGTGCTTTTTCTGAATCTGTTATGCAAACCAGAGCCGAATTTGGATGCTTTTTTCACCTGAAGTTATGGAATTCTTGAGGTTTGATTTGTTTCTAACTCACTGAGGCCACCAATTTTCATAGAGTCACTCAGGCTGTTCCAGTATATCTCACTAGCAAGGATTTGGTTCTGTCTTCTCCCAGATTTTTCCTGTTTCAAGATTTGCTTCTGACAGCTTCCCAGCCCCACTGTTTTGTTTGCTTCACGGAGTCGTGGTTCCTTGTCTACCTTAGATGAGAAGGAAGGGATCTACCAGACTTCCGTGTAGAACTCTCATTAGATTCTTTTGTCTAGCAGATTTGGGATTTCATTTTTGTTGGTATTTATTGAGGTTGTATTTCACCTGAATAACACAATTACAGAGTTTTTTTGCATTGCCTATTAGTTAGTAAAGCTTTTGCACTTGCCTTTACTGGTGGAGGTCAAGTGGATTGTTAATGCAGGTTGTGTGATGCTGTATGGATGAAATTATAATTGATGAGGGTTTTAAAGGAATTTAAAAAAAGAAACCAAGAAATAACTGTTAAAAGGATCAGTTAAAACACTGGAACCATTTGTCATCCAGAGATTATTCAGTAACTTGTGTAGCAGTGTCTGTTCAATACATGGCTATTTGACTCTAATGCAAAGTAACTTCAGCCCAGTTGACAGCAATCTTCGAGTAGTTTCTGAAAACTGATAACACATTTTGTGGGTGCACTCAAATCACTGCACACTAAAATCCCATATTTTCTAGTTGTCAGCATTGTTCCTTGTTATTATTTATATCTTCATGTTATCGTGAATGAATTCAAGTACTGCTTTTGGGAGTTGTTTTTTGTTTGGTTGTTTTTTTTGCCTATAGCCTTTGAGTTATATTTTTTAAAATAGCAAAAAAGCTCTCAAGCCTCCTGACATGCAGCAGTAAGTATTGCCAAACCAGTCCTGCGCTGCCTAAAGGTGCCCAGCTTTAAGCCAGCTCTCAGCAAAACTCCCTGTTCACTAAGGATCTTAGAATTATCCTTTTTTTTTTCTTGTGGCTATAAAGGGACTTTCATAACTAGAACACAGAGAGATTACACTGTTGAGGCGATGGTTTAAAATTGATAAATGGATGACCTAACCATTGTTGACTCCTGTGTTTTTCATATATGTTGACTGTGATGTTTTCATGTCTTTTGTATTGGTTTGATCTAAAATATGAGTTAGCACACCAAGTAAAGGAAACCTGGCAGGTGTGGTACTCAGTATATCAAGAAATTTACAGGTAGCTGTCAGAAGGCACCAGCTTCTGTGTATAAAATCTATACAACAGAAACCAGTTTGGTTTTTTTTTTTCCTTTGAAGATGTACAGGATTTACCAGTGTTGCTACAAGTTAGACTAATGCTGGTAACTTTGAGAAATCTGCTGTGCAAACTGGCTTGAGAATGAAGAAGGCTTTGCATATGAGAAATTACCATGCTTTAGTTGTGTTGGAGGGTTTGAAAACTCAGCAGATAGACCTTATGTTGTATGCATATTTCAGTCTCTAAGTGCATATCAGATCTATGTGAGGACAGCTTCAGCTTTTCTGAAGGTGCATGTCCTGGAAAAACTAAATGTTCAGAGTAGGAAGGTGATGAACCACCTTTGAAATGGGCTTCCCTTTGCTTCCCTGCTCACTCCTCCAGGATGTAGTGCTGTCAGGAAGAGGAGGAGACAGTTCAGTAAAGACTTCCTTCATAGCCTCACTGCAGCTTTTGGAAGGCATCTGAAGTATTCAAATCCCATGTTTGCTTGTTTGTTTGTTTGCTGTTGTCTGTAATGTTAGAAATAAGCACTTTGTTATATTTAACATTTGGTAGCACCCCGTTGATCATTATGACATAGACTGAAGCCAGTGAAATGGTGGGTGGATCACTTTAAATCAAAACTTATATGTTACTGTAAAGTCTTGCCTGATGAAAGCTCATGGTGAACTGTTGCGTATCAGAAGGAAAATGATGTGTTTTGGTAATGTATTCTATTCGCCACAGTGTATTTAAAAATGCCCTTCAGACTGACAACACAACAATTCCTTATGCATTATTTGTGTGAGCTGAAAGGACTTGTCAGTGGCTCAAAACAGTATGACCCAAATTGGCTTCAGCATCATGGAAAGGGTAAAATGGCCTAGTAATTAGAATGTTGAAAAGCAGGTGAGTTTACTACTGAATATGAATCATCTGTTACTCGTCGTTTCTGTCTGGTTGAAATGATGATATCAGGTTAATTCAAAATTCAGAGGGATTTGGGAAGGGCAGTATTTATGTTGGTAATTTTCTCAGGTGAAATTAAAATACACATTTAAGGCTAATGTACAGAAAATAAATACAGAATTCAATGTGCTGCTAAGAATTACCTCTTGCCACTTGCTTTGCCTGAAATGAGAATGCACTGTAACAGTTGTGGGGTTGCCTTTTCTTTTTGCAGGTGAATTGGAAACTGATATCCAGAGATACTGGCAAATAATTCCTTCTTCCATTCAGTCCCTGTAATGCTGTCTTTTTAAGTATGTGGTTGATGCTTCTTATAGAATTGTTGTAATTTTTCTATTGAGGATCCAATTCCTTCTTGGAATCAGTTTTTTGTTTATTTGTGTTGTGTTTAGCTGGCCAGGGCTTCAGTGATCTCTAGGATCATTACCATTTGACACAATTTGATAGCTGATATTTGACACAGTTGTGGTACCTGTGCTGGAAAGTTTTTGTGTTAGAGTTTTTGCTGACATTTCTGTATGGTTCCAAGCACGTATGTGCTTAACAGCTGAGCTGGAGATGTGCATCCTTAACTCTATGGAACACTGTTGGCTTAAGCCCAGGTGCATCCTTGGCAGGGATCCCTGTTAAAGGCTTCTGAGGCAAAGTTTGTTGTGCAGAGAGGAATGCAGACCCGCTACTCTGTGAGAGTTGTTGGCAGTCTAGACTCAAATGCCCTAATTTTCTGTCCAGTGATGTTTTTTCCAATTCATCTTTTTACAACATGAGTAAAAAATAAATCCCATTATTCCTTGAGCTGCTTTTTCCCTCTGTGTGGATGAGCAGCACATCTCGTGAGTGAGTTCACATCTCGTGAGTGGAGTTCTCATGCTGGTTTTGTAGACAGGAATCACCATTATTCTGTATTTGTGGGCTGTTAGTTACTACAACCACTGATGAAGTGGGGAGGATGAGACAGGCAGGACAGTCTATGATATCAAAAGCAGGGCTAAGCAGATGATTGAGTGCCTAGCAATATCTTGGCGTTCCTTGAACACGTGCCTGCATGTGGTGGAGTCCTGTGCTGGGCCTAGGAAATACAGACCAGCTTCTCTGCAGCTCTGGGATGTTGACCAGTGGTGGCAGAGATAGCAGCTAAGAGAGTCAGTCACAGTGTCTGTACAAATGGTAACTTGGGCAATCAGCAGGAAATGGCAGAAGGGTTTTAAACAGAGAGTTCCCAACAAGGGGCAAATAAAAGGAAGTGCAGTATTGTTCCAGAAGCTACAGGAGTGCTTTTGGCAGCGGTGGGGCATCACCTCCAAAAGGGGTTCAGAACAGTCACACCACATTGTTTCTCCCCTGCCTCCTGACAGCTACTCTGAGTTGGTACACAGTGAATGGGAGATACTTTTCTGGTAGATTAGAAGGACACTGTGTAGGGCAGAGCTCACTGAGTGATGAGGTTTGCTCACTGAGTGATGAAGTTTTCTCACTGAGTGATGGAATGCTGTCAAAGTTACCTGCTGACTGCAAACAGAAGCAGGGGTAAGACATGGCAGCAAAGCATCAGGATGTGATAAATCCTGGGGTTATGTTTTTGTGTTGGTTTGGACTGTGTGTGCAAAAGATTATTTGACATAGGGACGAGAGGTCATTTTGCAGTAGGTACCATGGCTGAGAAATGTGCTTTGAATCCCAATAATGATACAGTGAGTGGGGAAATGAATTACCAGTCTGTCAACACTTGCAGTATTCTGTTAGTGACGTGGGGATTCTTCAGTACAGGCATTGATTCCCCATGTGTGGAATGAAATGTTACTGTGCTTATATCTTGCAGTTGGACATGTTGTGTATGTCATGAAAATGAGGAGGTCTTTAGCTGATTTGTTTCATAGCTGTTGGCAATACCTGCAGTTGTTGTCTCAGAAGCTGCACACTTCTCTGTGTCCTTGTCTCTTAAATTGCTTCTTCTGGAATACATTTTTTTCCTGCAGTCCTTTGAGTAAAACTCCCTACAGTGTGTATTCCTTTGGACCCTAGCGATAGAAAAAACAAGAAGTGAGAATTGCATTTTTGTGTGCTATTTCTTTGATTCCTGATCTGGATCAATCTTTAGGTGTGTAGCTATCGAAGACATTTCAGTTGAGGAACCTGGCTTAAATCAACAGACAAAAAGCAAAGCAGAACAAGAGGTGTTTCACTGAGTCTGGGAAGCTAAATGTCAAAGCTCCCTACCTGTCTCTATCCAAGATCATCTGTAAAATGCAAAGCGAGGTTTATTTTGGGAAACAACCAGCTGTGGGCACAAGGCTTTGCATGAGATCCTTTCTAAAGCCTCTCATTTCAAGGTGAGCAAAGCCAGCACAGTGTGAGATAAGAGGGGTGAAGTAAATTATGCTCAGCTTATTGCAGAAAACACTGGTTGTGGCTGATGTGACACTCCTGAGGGAGTGACAGCTCCAGG